AGGGGAACACTGCCACCTGCAAGTTTGTCTCCAAATGAGTCACGTCTAACTTGTAAATATATTGCCATTCCTTCTGTGTCGCTGGGCCAAAATTATAGAATTGCCTCCCTCACTTCATCTGACAAAGGGGATACGATCTGAAAGCTTGTGTTTTCAAATAAACCTGTTGGACTATAACCTGGTGTCGTGTGATTTCTGACCTTGGCCCCAGTCCAACACTAGCACCTCCACATTATCCCTCTCTAAGGGAATTGTGGGTCTACCTACAGCACGTGGACTGCAGAGGTTCAAGAGAGCAGCTCACCACAATCTTCTCAAGGGGCAACTAGGGACGTGCAGTAAACACTGGCCATCCAGTGACACTCACGTCCCACGAATGAATAAAAAAAGTTAAGAGATAGTGTTAGATGCAAATGAAACTATACAAATTTTCAAGAAAAAACAATAGGCCCAAGAATTGGGTACAGCTTGGAAGTCAGCAAAGGAGGACCAAGGGATTGATTAAGAAGGGGAATATAGAATATGAAAGTAAGCTTGCAGGGAACATAAGCACTTACTGTAAAACTTTCCAAAGGTATGTAAAGAGAAAAAGATTGGTGAAAACCAATGTAGGTCCCTTACAGTCAGAAATCAGGGAATTTAAAATTGGGAATAAAGAAATGGCTAATGAACTAAATTCATTTTCCCTTCTATTTTCAGAGAGAGGACATGAATAATGTACCAGAAATGATGGAGAAAACAGGGTTTAGTAAGAGGGAAGAACTGAAGCAAATCTGTATCAATGGAGAAATGGTGTTGAGAAATTGATGAGATTGAAGGCCAATAAATCCCCAGGGTCTGATAATCTATACCCCAGATACTTCAGGAAGTGGCCCTAGAAATAGTGGATGCATTGACAGTCAACTTCCAAGATTCTTCAGACTCTCAAATAATTCCTACAGATTGGACGGTAGCTAATGTAACCCCACTATTTAAAAAGGGAAATCAGGAAATTATAGACCAGTGGGTGTGATGTCAGCTGTGGGGAAGATGCTGGAATCCATTATCAAGGTTTTCATAACAGAGCACTTAGAAAACAGTGGTGGAATCAGACATAGCATGGATTTAGAAATGGGAAATCATGCTTGACAAATCTACTGGAATTTTTGGAGGATGTAACTAGTAGAGTAGATCGGGGCAGCCAGTGGATACGGTTTTTACTTGAGAAAGGATGTACTGGCACTGGAGGGGGTGCAAAGGAGGTTCACTAGGTTGATTCCGGAGTTGAGGGGGTTGGCTTATGAGGAGAGACTGAGTAGATTGGGATTATATTCATTGGAATTCAGAAGATTGAGGGGGGATCTTATAGAAACATATAAAATAATGAAGGGAATAGATGAGATAGAAGTAGAGAGGATGTTTCCACTGGCGGGTCAAGCTAGGACAAGAGGGCATAGCCTCAAGATTAGAGGGAGCAGATTTAGGACTGAAGTGAGAAGGAATTTCTTCACCCAGAGGGTTGTTAATCTATGGAATTCCTTGCCCAGTGAAGTAGTTGACGCTACTTCAGTAAACATTTTTAAAAAAAAGGTAGATTTTTTTTTGAACAATAAAGAAATTAAGGGATACGGTGAGAACACGGGTAAGTGGATCTGAGTCCACGAAAAGATCAGCCATGATCTTATTGAATGGCGGAGCAGGCTCGAAGGGCCAGACGCCCTACTCCTGTTCCTAGTTCTTATGTTCTTATTTAGACTTTCAGAAGTCTTTTGACAAAGTCTCACATAAGACACTAATGCGCAAAATTAAAGCACATGGGATTGGTGGTAGTATATTGAGATAGACAGAAAATTGGTTAACAGACAGGAAACAAAGGTTAGGAATAAATGGGTCTCTTTCTGAATGGTAGGCAGTGACTAGTAGAGTACTGCAGGGATCAGTACTAGGATCCCAGCTATTCACAATATATGCTAATGATTTATATGAGGGAACTAAATATAACATTTCAAAATTTGCAAGGACACAAAGTTGGGCGGAAGGGTGAGCTGTGAGGAGGATGCAGAGATGTTGAATTGTGATTTGTACAGGATGAATGAGTGGGTAAATGCATGGCAGGTGCAGTATAATGTGGATAAATATTATCCACTTTGACAGCATACTAGGAAGGCAGATTATTATTTCAATGGCTGTAAATTGAGAGAGGGGAATGTTCAACATGACTAGGGTGTCCTTGTGCTCCATTTGCTGAAAGTAAGTATCTAGGCAGTAAAGAAGACAAACTGTATGTTGGCCTTCTTAGCGACAGGATTCGAGTACAGGAACAAGGATGTCTTGCTACATTTATACAGGGCATTAGTGAGGAATATTATGTGCAGTTTTGGTCTGTTTACCTGAGGAAGGATATTTTCATATGGAGCAAAAGTATATCAAATTGATTCCTGGAATCATAGGACTCAAGTATAAAATTCTAACAGGACTAGACAGATTAGATACAGGAAACATGTTCCCAATGGTAGGGGAGCCCAGAACAAGGGGTCATCGTTTATGGATAAGCCCTTCTAGGACTATATGGAGAAATTTCTTCAGCAAGAATGGTGAGCCTATGGAATTCACTGCCACAGAACTTTTATATATTTAAATTCACAGGATGAGGGCATCACTGGCTGGGCCAGCATTTATTGCCCAGGGGGCAGTTAAGAGTCAACCACATTTCTGCAATCACATGTAGACCAAACCAGGTAAGGATGGCAGTTTCCTTCCCTAAAGGACATTAGTGAGCAAGGTGGGTCATCATTAAACTCTTAATTCCAGATTTGTATTGAATTCAAATTCCACCATCTCCTGTAGCAGGATTTGAACCTGCATCCCCAGAACATTACTTGGGTCTTTGGATTAACAGTCCAGCAATAATACCACTCAGCCATTGCCTCCCCTTTTGGTTGAGGCAGAAGCATTGTGTTTTCAAGAAAGAGGTAGATATAGCTCTTAAAACTAAAGAGATCAGGGGATATGGGAGAAGGGCGGGATTAGGGTATTGAGCTCATTCAGCCATAATGATATCAAATGGTGGATCAGGACTGTGGTGTCAAATCCTATCTTCTATGTTTCTATGTAGCATAACATTTGAGGTGAGGGGTACCCCTAGGTATGTCAAAGTGAACAACTCATTTTAAAGATGCTATGTAGTCTTTGAAATATTTTTGAAAGAAATTGAGGCCTCAAATTTCTTGGCAGTTGTGGGGGAGGCGGATGGTATAAAGATCTGCATTTACAGAAGAATATTGCTTTACAGTCAATGTGAATGATTGAAGTGCAGTTACTGTTATAACGTTGGAACTTTGGTAGCCAGTGTGAGCACAAAAAATTCTCACAAACAAGAATGTGGTAATGACCAGTCAGTGATTTTCATTGAGGCATAAATGTTGGTCAATGTGTTAGGGCCTTATGAGGCTCTTGTAGCACAGTGGCAGTGTTCCTATCTCTGGAAAAGGAGGCCCGCGTTAAATGTCCTACCAGCGCCTGAGGTGTGTAATACTAATAGCTCTGAACATATAGAAACTATCTGGCCAGCATTTTGGGAAAAACTGCCCTCTTCCACTTCAAAATAGTGCCATTGAATCCTTTGCATACTGTCACGATGGATACTCAGTTTAATTTCAACTTTGACTTTTGTACTCAAGCTCTGGAGTGGAACTTGAACTTGACAGCTTATGACCCAAGCTACAAGCAGAGGGTCTCTTGCTACCTATCTGTGCAACTTCCACAGTAGATGGTAGAATTCGAATTCAATAAAAATATCTGAATTAAGAGTCTATTGATGACCATGAATCTATTGTCAATTGTTGGAAAAACCCATTAACTAATATTCTTAGGGAAGAAAACTGCCATCCTTACTTGGTTTGGTCTACATGTGACTCCAGACCCACAAAACTGACTTTGGGGAATTAGGAAGATGCATTAAGTGCTGGCTAAGCTAGCAAAGTTCACATCCTGTAAATGAATAGAAAATATGCACAAAAGGACCTAGGTGTCCTCATCAATAAGTCAACAAAGGCTCATATGCAGGTGCAGCAGGCTATTAGGAAGGCCAATGAATGTTAGTATTTATCGCAAGAAGAATTGAGTACAGGAGCAGTGAAGTCTTACTTCAATTATATAGGAACTTATGTGGTGCACTTTTGGTCTCTTTATCTCAGGAAAGATCGGAAGATGATAAGATATAGGACCATCAAGTCTGCTCCGCCATTTGATCACAGCTGATGTGTTTCTCAATCCCATTCTCCTGCCTTCTGGCCTAAGCCTTGATCCCTTTACCAATTAAGAACCTATCTATCTTTGTCTTAAAGACATTCAATGACTTGGCCTCTGCAGCTCTGTGCGGCAATGAGTTCCATAGATTAACCACCTTCTGGCTGAAGAAATTCCTCCTCATCACAGTTCTATCAGGTTGTTTCATTCACTCTGAGGCTGTCCCCTCAGGTCCTAGTCTCTCCTACTAGTGGAAATATCTTCTTTATATCTACTCAATCTAGGCCTCTCATTATTCTGTAAGTTTCAATGAAATCTTCCCTCATTCTTCTGCAGACCCAGAGTCCTCAACCTGAAAGATATTATTGCCATAAAGAGTCTAACAAACATTCACCAGACTGGTTCCTGGGATGATGGACTGTTTTCCTGGCTTGGAAGCTTCACAATCTAACATTTCTAATAAGGTAACTTGCTCCCTGAACTCTTGTAACAGAAACGAAACATATCAGTAAGGACAGCAGATTTCTTTCCCTCAAGGCCATCAGTGACCTAAATGTTTTTTTTAGAAAATTAATGAGAGTTTCATGGTCACCACTACTGAAACTAGTTTCCAATTCTAGTTGCTTATTAATTTGAATTTAACTTCTATCAGCTGGTGGGATTTGAACCCATGTCTGCAAAGCAATAAACTGGATGATTACTAGTCCAGTATGTCACTATCTACATTTAATTAACAAAATTGTATAGATATATATCACACAAAACAAAATGAGTTGAGATAATGCACTTTTTATTTAATTGTGATAGGAATCGTACAAGTTACCAACAACACCAAAACTTGAGTAAATGAAAATGCACACCTAATGTCTTGCATTAGTGTATTTTTGACAGTGCAACATCAAAATCTAATCCAACCATCCACCTAAAAGTGAACATTTGAGGTGATTGCATGACAAAGTTCTGTCTGATATGAAGAAACACAACATTAAAAATAAATGGTCAACATTACATTGCAACAACAGACCAACAAGTTAGAAGCTTCCATATTCCCACAATTCACTAAGCAGTGACAGGCAAAATTTGGATTAACTCAAATCATTTGGAAGCAGTTTTGGAGGGCGCTTCATTCAATTTTGTGAATAATATAGGTTTCCCCCTACCATTACTGTTATGAACAAATCATAAACTGTTATGATATGCATTCTTCAGAAATAATGATCATTCTTTCATGAATTGTAAATAAAAAGTAAGTAGTTGTTTTAAATGTTACCCTAAAAGGTGTGACACTTTATTACTAATTAGTTTTGATGCTTTCTGATTAAGCAATGATATTGGAGCAGTCATGTATCTAGTAGACGGTAATTATACTTGGAAAGCCTTAATTGGTTATTATGTGGTTTTGGGACATGAAAGATGTTATGTAATTGTACATTTTCTCTCAGATGTTTTATTACACGTGTTTGAGGCAGATTTTTAGTTGGAATGGGCTTCCCAGCAGTGAATTTCAAATCTCAGCACAGGCAGAAAATCTGTAGTTATTTGAATCACTGAAATTCACTGAATTTCTCCAAACCTATTCTCACCCAGAGCAAGCCTAAAGTAGGCAGGAAATTGGTGTTAGCAAGCGAAGATTAGGTGGTCGGTATGGACTGGAGAGGGTTGTTGGCTGGATTTCTTACACGTAAGTGGGGATGATGGAAACATGGGCTGCGTCTTTACTGGAAGGATCTGGAGGTTTACTGTAGCTTTCATGCTTATGCCCTAGATAAAGTTGTGTGATAAGTCTCGATATACAATTAGAGTGACTTTAGCCAAGTGCCTTATTCTCTCGCTGAGCTGATGTAACCAGCTCAAAGTTAACTGCCCACACGGCCGGTTTCAGTTAGGCAACAGGGATTTAAATCTATCCATATAGTGTTAATCAACTCTTTTGCTATACATGGCGTTCATTATTGGCCATTAGTTCATGAATTCATCAAGGATGTTTATTACTTTTCAGCTGCTATATCTTTCCTCACTGACACCAACCTGGTAGCAGTACAAAAGAATAAACATTCTGGAAAACATTCAGACTTTGAGTATTTCAGTAGTTTTGAAGATTTTAACTCTTTAATATGTGTATTTTGAGCAAGATAAAATCTCGTCCAATGTTTCTTGCAAGTTGTTATGTAGGAGATGCAGCAGCCAGTTTTTGCACAGCAAACTTCCACAAAAAGCAACATGGTAGCATTATAGCACATGTGATTATGGGAATCCCTCAATATGTTCTCAGAGATGACGTACCCTTTTCTGATACTGCCTAGATGCAAATATCAGATTAAAACTTGTCATGGATTTTACAGGCAAAACACAATATTTCTCTACAGAAAATATCAGAGGAGAGGATTAAAATGAATTTAAACTATGTTTCAAGAATAACAACTTGCATCTACGTAGGTTGTTTGTTCTTGTCGTAAATACTATAGCTGGAATGATATTCACACAAAGCAGAGGCATTTTAATCTAACCTATCAATTGGAATGTTAGTTCTCAATCCTGCCCAATATGGACATCGATGGTGAGTGAGACTAAGGAATGAAGGGTTATGTGGACAAGGCGGGGCAGTGTAGTTGGGAAACAATTTTCCATCCATTCTGACAGATGGATCAGGTTAGAATTTCCTCTAGTCTCTCTATCTGAAATGTTGACCTGTTAATTTTCTTCAGATTCTTACTGCCTGTTTTCTGTGTTAGGCATTTTTATTTAACATGAGTTTCTGTTTACATACAATTACAAAGTATTTTCAGCACAAGAGGCGTTTTGACACAACTAATCTATTCTGGTGTTGACCCATGCCTTAGTTAATCTTACCCTAATGGCACAGTCTTTTATTCCTTTCTCTCTTGTATATTTATCTAACTTGCCCTTAAATGCATCCATACTAGTCACTTTAACTACTCCATTTGGTCAGTTTGCCATAGTCTCAGCATGGTCCATGAAGCAGTTTATCCTGGACTAATTCTCAGGGGGAGTGGAGGGGGGAAGGGGGGTGGTGGTGTTGAGAGTGTTTTGTTAAGAATATTTAAGTGTGCACCTGCAATGCCAAGGATAACAAGGCTATGGTCCATTGTTGGAAATTGGGATTAGAATAGTCAGGTGGCTGTTTTTGACCAGCACTGACTTGATGTGCTCAAGACGAGAAATCGCCCAGAGTATGTTAGCCTTTGGAATTATCAACCAGAGGGTATAGATGCTCTATCGTTGAGGAGATTCAAGATGGACTTTTTAAAAAATTCATTCATGGAATGTGGATGTTGCTGACCAGGCCACTGTTTATTGCCCATCCCTAATTGCTCTGAAGAAAGTGGTGGTGAGCTGTCTTCTTAAACTGCTACAGTGTAGGAACACCAAAGTGCTATTAGGGTGAAAGTTTCAGGATTCTGACCCAGCAACAAAGAGGTAATGATACAATTCCAAATAAGCATGGTGTGTCTCTTAGAGAGGAACTTACTGGTGGTGTTCCCATGCATCTACTACCCTTGACTTTCTACGTGGCAAACGTCATGTATTTGGAAAGTGCTGTTGGTGGGGTCTTGGTGAGATATTGCAGTGCACCTTGTAGATTGCACCACTGTGCCTTGATAATGAAGGAAGTGAATATTGGATGTGGTAAATGGGGGTTGATGAAATGTTGGGAATCAAGGGATATGTAGATAGGGCAAGACAGTGGAGTTCAGGGAGAAGATCATGCATGATCTTATTGAATGGCGGAGGCTTGAGGAGTGATATGGCCTCATCATGGTCCTGTTTCTTATTTTGTTTTGGTGGAAATTTCATTGGCCCACCAATGTGTACTGGCAGAGATACAAGTCCCAGGCTCCAATCTACGACACTGCTCCTCTCAAGACTGCTTCAAGAGCCAGACTGGTGTTCCCGGGAAGAAATATAACCTGTAACTGTGTCTGTGTCTAACTTCTCCTGTGTTTCCAATCAGACGGTGTGTGGGGGAAAGCATTCCCTTGTATAAGATCATTTACTCTCCAAAAACAGTTTGATAGGCTTTTGATAATGTTGGTTGAATCATGTTTATTTTAGAAATATGTTTAGCATTTAATTATTCAAATATAAAAATATAAAATTAGCAGCAAATTTTAGTAATATATTTGGCCCCACAGAATATAGCACCAATTAGGAATAAAATATCTGTATGGCGTTTTAAGAAGTTAGTGGGTCATTTTTCTTTTAATTGTAAAAATTGCTGTTATGAAAAGCCAAACCATAAATGTGTCAAATTCAATTAACTGAAATGAAAAGAACGCAAAGTCCAAGTTACAATAAATTAATGGTTCTGCATTTTGACAGTGGTTCAGTTGTCTATTACAATCAAGTGCAGGAAGGTTAAATTATCTTTGCAGTTATAGACAGCAGCTGGATTTACATGACAGGACACCGAGTCACACTAACAGCACCATGAACTGCCACCGCTTTCTTGAATGATACTGGCTTCGCATTGATCGTTACTTCCCCCATGCAGCCAAAGAATGGATTACGAGTTGGCAAATGATGTAACTGTACATTATCTGAAAGTACAAAAAGATCAATACATTTTTAGAATAAAATATAACTATAAAATACAACTTAATAGAATAGAGCATATGTATTAAGAATAGAGGCATAGACTATTTTCTGAATGGACAAAGGCTTCCGAAATCTGAAGCACAAAGAGACCAGTTCAGGATTCTCTTAAGGTTAGCATGTAGTTTCGGTTGTCAGTTAGGAAGTCAAATGCAATGTTAGCATTCATTTCAAGAGGGCCAGAATATAACAGCAGGGATGTACTGCTGAGGCTGTATAAGGCTCTGGTCAGATCGCATTTGGAACATTGTGAGCAGTTTTGGCCCAGTATCTAAGGAAAGATGTACTGGCCTTTGAGGGTTCTAGAGAAGGTTTACAAGAAAGATCCCAGGGATGACAGGCTTGTCACATGAAGAACAGTTGAGGACTCTGGGTCTGTACTCAATGGAGTTTGGAAGGATATGGGGGGAATCTGATTGAAACTTACAGAATACTGAGAGGCCTGGAGAGAGTGGACATGGAGAAGATGTTTCCACTGGAAGGAAAGAGTAGGATACTAGGGCACAGACTTAGGGTAAGCGGACAACCTTTTTAAACTGAAAGGAGGGAGAATTTCTTCAGCCAGAGGGTGGTGAATCTGTGGAACTCATTGTCACAGATGGCCATGGAGGCCAAGTCATTGAGTGTGTTTAAGGAAGAGATAGATTACTAATTTTGATTAGTGAAGGGATCAAAGGTTGTGGAGAGAAGGCGGGAGAGTGGAGTTGAGAGATGTATCAGCCATGATTGAAAAGAGGAGCAGACTCGATGGTCTAATTCTGCTCAAGTGCCTTATGGTCTTATAATCCATTCAAAACCATATGTCAAAAATTTAAGGTAACATGTACTAAAATACGTTAGAAAATATTTCCTTGTATTATGAAGGCCATTCTTTCTCTTATTTTTCCATTTTGTGCTGTGTGGAATAAAGAACCACAAGGTATTCTACCTAGTTTGCTAATCAATATTGATCCCTGAACTACCATCAGATTACCTGGTCATTATCACAATGTTGTTTACGGTGGAGTCATAATGTATATTAAAGGCTTTATCTTGATCAGTAGGTGAATCCAGGGTTATGGGAAAAAGGGCAGGAAAGTGCTCATGAGAAATGTCATATTAGCTGTGATCCTATTGAATGATGGAGCAGGCTCTAGCGGCCAAATGGCCTACTCCAGTTCCTATTTCTCACAGTCTTATGGGAGTTTGCTGCATTCAGATTGGCAGCCACATTTCTACAGTGGCTACATTTCTTACGTGCTTAATTGGTTGTAAAGCACTTTAGAAATTTTTAATTGAGGAAGAAACTATGTGAGTGCAACAAATTCCTTGACATCAGTGAAAATACCTTACTGCTGTTCTGTCCCCTTTTTGGACACATCTTTCAAACCATATCACATTCTCCAGATTAAGAAGGGTCACTCTAAAGTAAATCGCTTATTGAAGTACTAATTACCTGGTTGCATCATATGCTCCTCCGTGAGTTCAGTAATCGCAAAATACTGGCATTGGGTTGTGAAGTTGCCTTATAGCACTTAGAGGTTGTTGTGGTAGGACAGAAGGAGGATAAAGAATGAGGATAATCCTTTTAACTTTGGCGGGGTGGGGGGTGGGGTGCTGGTGCAATGTAACTTTCCTACACTCTCAGTTAACCATATACAAATAGAATGTAGGAGTGGGAGCAGGCCATTCAGCCCTTTGAACCTCATCCACCATTCGATAAGATCATGACTGATCTGTTGTGGTCTAAGATTATAAAGAAATCTTGATCAATTTGGTCAATGGGCTGAGGATTGGCAGATGGAGTTTAATTTGAATAAATGTGAGGTATTGCATTTCAGTAAAACAAACAAGGGCAGGACTTATACAATTAATGGCACAGCCCTGGGTAATGTTGTAGAACAGACAGACTTAGGCATATAGGTACATAATTCTTTGAAATTTATGTCACAGGTAGACAGGGTGGTTAAGAATGCATTTAGGACGCTTGCCATCATTGCTCAGACCTTTGAGTATAGGAGTTGGGATGTCATGTTTAAGTTGTACAGGATGCTGGTGAGACCACTTCTGGAGTACTGTGTACTGTTCTGGTTGACCTGCTATAGAATATTATTAAAATTGGAGAAGGTTCAGAAAAGATTTACCAGGATGTTGCCGGGAATGGAGGTTTTGACTTATAAAAATAGGCTGGGACTTTTTTTTACTGGAGCGTATAGAGGTTTATAAAATCATGAGGGGCATAGAAAAGGTGAATAGCAAGGGTCTTTTTCCAAGTGTGAGAGAGTTCAAATTAGGGGACATTTTTAAGGCGAGAGGAGAAAGTTTTAAAAAGGACATGAGGGGCAACTTTATACATGGAGAGTGGTTCATGTGTGTATTGAACTTCCAGAGGAAGTGGTGGATGTAGGTACATTTACAACATTTAAAAGACATTTGGATAAGTACATCAATAGGAAAGGGTTGGAGGGATACAGGCCAAACACAGGCAGGTGGGACTAGTTTAGTTTGGGAACATGGTCATCGTAGATTAATTGAACTGAAGGGTCTGTTTCCATTCTGTATGACTTATGACTCAATGACTGAACTCCAAATTCCACAATCTTTGACTCCTTTGTTGATTAAAAATACATGAAACTCAGCTTTGAATGCATTCAATGACCAACCTCCACTGCCTTCTTGGGAAGCAAATTGTACAGATAAACAGCCTTCAGAAAAGAAATTCTCCTCATCTGTCTTTAAAGCAAGACCTCTTATCCTTAAACTGTGGTCCTTAGTTCTAGTCTGTCCAACAGAGGGAAACATCTTTAGGAACTACTTTGTCAAGTCCTATCAGGATCTTTTCTGGTTCGATAAGATTACCTCTCACTCTCATTAACTTCAAAAGATATAGGCCCAACCTGTTCAACCTTTCTTCATCCCAGGAGTAGTTAGTGAACCTTCTCTGAACTGCTTCCAATGTCATTATATCAACTGAATTCCAGGTGTGATACTACCAAGGCTTTGAACAGGTGCAGTATTTCCTGACTTTTTTTTAATATCCAGAAATGCTTTCACGCACCACTGAAAGTCTTTTTTCCACCATTAAATCACCTGTGTTAATTTTTACCTGAATCCTCCACCATAAATCACCTGTGTTTCTAATTCAATCATCAGTTTACAGGCAAAGTCCATCAGGGACAGTGCATTGACAATGAAAGTGAGGGAAAGGTGGGGAGAGGGGAAGGAGACTAAATCAAAATGGAGTTGGAGAGGGAAATAAGGCATTCCATCAGCCCCTGTGGTGCCCACCTCTCTGTCTCTGAAGGCTTTGAGTGTTTGTGGATTCCACATATTCCCTCTCCAAGATACCCAGGTGTAGTGTAGCTGCAGAAGAGGGGAAGGCAGTCAGGAACTAGGACGCCCTTCACAACCATCTGCCTGGACCTGTTTGATGGCGATTTTGGCCAGCCCAGGAGAAGCCCCAGGGGGAGGTGCTCCAACTTGCCTGCCTCCACTTCATATCAGAGATCAGGAGCGTAGGGCTGAAGTGCAACCAAAAGCACAACAGAAGGTTTCTCAAATAACTAAAAATGAGATGCAAACATCCAAAATCATTGTCAGCAGTCTCCACAGCACCATGAAAGGTGTCCTGACTCTTTTATTCCCCTTGTAATAATGAGTATTGACAAATAAACTGTTGAATTAGACATTTTAGCCCAAAGACTCAATTTGCTTTTTATAACCTGAGACTTTGTAGAGCGCTCAAACATTCCATCATGCCATGTACAGAAAGCTCCATGATCTAATGCACTCAATAGTCCCCTACATATTTTAATATGAACAATTGTAGAATGTATTTATAAGAAAACAAATTTTAATCATGGATAAATTATATTGAATATACAGGGCAAACAGGCCCTTCAACCCATTGGATCTGTGCTGGCATTTATACTTATTCCAAATCTCTTCCCATGCAATCTGTCTCATGTCATTTTTCATGTGGTATCACATTTTGCTGGATAACATTCCTGTGAAGTGACTTGGGATGCTTTGTGATATTAAAGGCACAATATAAATGTACTTATACATATGCCGTTACTTGAGCTAACATATGTTCAGGTGAGATGAACAGGTGCAATGACCAAGGCAAATCTCAAAATAATGATTTTTCACTTTACAAAAAGCTTCTTACCTGGGATGCCACCGACGTAGAGAGGGTCGGCAGTATCAGTGGAGAGTGAAGCAGCAGGTCCTACAACATGGTCACGTTCTGTGTCCACATCAAGTTGCACCACATTATTTCTTTTAATCACTGTTAGAATACAAAACACAAAGAACAGTAATTACACTTCAAAAAGTAATTCTTTGGTTGTAAAACATAAGCAACTAAAACTGTGATTGAAAGCGCCTTTTGTTGAGTGAGGGCTTGGGAATTACGGAACCAAGGCACATAAACAGTTACATGATATGTATCATAAACACGATATGTATCATCCATGATCTAATTAAATGATGGAATACGTTCAAGAAGTTGATTAGTCTCCTCCTGTTCCTGTTTTCTTAAAGCACTTTGGGACTTGGGTGAAGCATGAATGCAAGTTTTCCTTTCATGTATTTGGTACAGCTGTGAACATTTGAACAAATATTAATCGTTATTTACAATGATGATTAAAAATAAGCATATATCCAATGTCCTCAGCCAATGTCGATCCCTGAACCAACAATACCAAAACAGATTATCTGGTCAATATGGCCATCTCTGTTTGTGGGAGCTTGCTATGCACCAACTAGTTGATGTAGTTTCCTACCTTACAGCAATGAATACACTTCAAAAATACTTAGTTGATCCCTACAGTGCGAAAAGAGGCGATTTGACCCATCAAGTCTGCATCGACCCTCTGAGCAGCATCCCACCCGGTCCCTAGCCGTATCCCCTTAACCCTGTATTTACCATAGCCAAACCTCCGAACCCGTACATCTTTGGACTATAGGAGGAAATCGGAGCACATGGCAGAAACCCATGCAGACACGGGGAGAACACGCAAACTCCACACAGACAATCACCCAAAGCTGGAATGAAACCCAGGTCCCTGGCGCTTGATGCTGCAGTGGTAACCACTGAGCCACCACAACAATATAGAATTACTGGTCTCAAACCATTAATTCTGCTTTCTCCCTACAGATGCTGCTAGACCTAATGAGTTTCTCCAGCAATTTCTAATTTCAGTTTAGAAAATTTCCAGCATCTGCTGTTCTTTGTTTCATTGTATTGGAATATCTTGTGGTTGTGGGACCCTAAATAAATGCAAGTCTGTCTTTCTGCCTGCATCATGCCTTTCTGAGAAGGAAACTGTCAATGATTTATACAACAAACAAAAAAAAACAGAAATTTTTTGTCTTCCATGTATTTAAAATATGAAAGATTTCCCCATGTGGAAAACACAGGGAAACTTTACTCCTACCAATGTTGAGAAGAGAGTTTGCTGGTTCAAAATCCTGCAACTCCCACCTTAACAGCACCTTGAATGTCCCTAAAACTCAAGGACTGCAGCAGTTCATGAAGACAGCACATCAACACCACCACCAACTTCCACAGGGCAGTTAGTGATGGGCACTAAATGCTGGCCCAGCCAATCATATCCTTCTCATATGAATAAATTAAAAGATTAAATATCCCCAGATATTTACTTTTGTTATTTTAGAATGATGACCAAACCAAATCCTCTATGTCTATAAATCTGTTCTGTACATTTATTTGTAATTTTGAGAAGAGGAGTGTTTGCTGGAACTGACATAAATGTTTGCAGAAAGTAAAACTTGTCTCATAAAATGGTACAGCACGGAAGGAGCCCCATCATGACACCTATCGTGTCTGCCGACTCACTGAAGGAACTATCTAATTAGTCCTAATGACACTAATATCAGAGAAATTTCAGATTCTGGAGAAATCCTGGTGATTCCAGGATGGTTGGAAATCATGCCTCACACCCTCACCAAACACCCGCTTCAAGGCACAAATTTCATCTCACCCCTTCCCAAACTTTGACTCTTCTATCTCCCAATAAACAATATCTATTTCATCATCTTTGAATTCTACCTGAACTAATCCTCTGAAATCTGCTGTTGACAAACCTGTCAGATCTCTAGTGAATGTACTGCTTGATAACAGATCTATTTTCAGTCTCATATAACAAATATTGATTTTTTAAACATGCTTCCTAATGAATGTTGCAGTCGATATGCCATTTTATTCTGAACTTGTCTGTATTTAAAATATTCCCTGTCTTTTCTTCACTGCTGTGAATTAAAGCGAAGGATACTCACCTGCTATTCTGTGCCACTGTCCATCACACAGTGATTGAGGTGTGACTGATGTATTGAAATCACCAGCTCCATTGTTGACATGGACAGTAACCTGAGGATAGAAATTAGAAAATGTTCAGTTCATTTTTCAAGAAAACTAGCCTTTGTTTTCTGTATATTGAAAGAATTGTGAGAAAGTAATTTTGTATAGCTCTGAGTTGCACTCCAGTAGAGCAGGAACACAGGGCATTTGTGAGACTGGATCACACACAGGCCCAGACTGTATGAAGATAGCAGGTTTCCATCCAAACCCTTCACATCAAATGTTGAACCAAGACCCTGTCCACCTTCTCAAATTGATGTAGAAGATCCCATGTCACAATTATAAAGAGGAACTGCAGAGTTCTCTCTGTTATAATAGTCTTCAATCACACCACAAAAAAGGAATATCTATTCATTGCTATTGTGGAAGCTGGCCCTGGGAAAACCTGTTGCCATGTTTCCTACATTACAACAGGGACATCACTTCAAGAAAGTGCTCATTTCATTGATATACAGCATTGGAATAGCTTGTGGTTGCAGAAGTTCTGTGTTAATGCAAGTCTTTCTTCCAATAACCAGTTTTTTGTCATTACAATCCAACAGCTTCATGGTTGCTTTTATTGGTTCTAGTTTTTTGTTCTTAATTTTAAATTTAAATTATCAACCTTTTTCTATGTCCTTACCCTAACCCCACCACACCAGACCTTGTCATCACATGGACTGCTACCACAATTATCTCCCAATGTCAGCTACTAATGGACTCAATTAGCAGCCGTTTATCCGTTGTCAAACTGTTGTTCTCGCTCCCTAGGCTTCATTTCCACTGTTGTTTACTCCTCCCCCATCTCCCCTCTCCCCTCCCCCACCCCATCTTCAGCATATATATCAACCTTTTGCTAGCTACAGTCAGTACTGAAGGAGGTCACTGGACCTGAAATGTTAACTCTGCTTTCTTTCTACAAGTGCTGCCAGACCTGCTGAGCTTTCTCAGCAATTTCTATTTTTGTTTGTTCTTTCCTGAAAATAAATTGAGTTTGCTATCAGATACTACAGGGAGCCCACATGTGAGCTCAAGCTTGATATGTGTCAGTGTTCTGACCACTGAGCATTGTGTTATCCATCATCTCTAATGAAAGATAACATTAAGAGGCCCACGATTACTGATAATTGTGCTGTTCAATGAAAACCAAAACATTTTGAAAAATGAGAGGTAAAACTGAATTATTTGAAGTAATAATTAGCCATGATTCAGTTGCTATTTTATCATTAACCCATACATTCGTTGCTACTCTTTCACAATAATTTTATATGTATCTATATAACAAGTCTCAGAGGGAAACATTAATTAATGGTTCTTCAAAGTCTTGAAAATGTTTAACAAACTGTGCAAAGGTGATGAAGCAATTTAATGAGGTTAGCAGTCTGTGATTGATAGTTGGCGGTCAAGAATAATGAGCTTTTGTCTCAGCAATGGGGAGGGAAGGAATGTAATTACATGTATAAGCGAAAGAAAGGCAAAGTAAGCATGCATCATTATTCTATTTAGTTAGTGTTCTACAATTGAAAGATTATTTAAGTCAATCTAAGAGTATTTACAGGAATAATAAATAGCTTATTAGGATATTGTAGATATCTATATATAATATGTACCCAACTCATTGGCTAATACAATAGTGTTACTATTCACCCTGTTACTCTCACTAGTTGGCAGAGGCCATTGATGCATCAAGTCTCAAGAAATTACCGTGTGGTGTAACCACTTGCACCATTATTTTCTTCTCTTCCAGACCTATCATAATTGGTTTTTCTTCAGATAAGGAAGTGTCACCTATTGTTGCTATCAGATTATTAACATTTCAAATATGTAAATATATTTTTAGTCTCAACATCTCTGCCCTTACATTTCAGACTTGTTTTTCTTTACGCACATGGCTTTCAGAAAACAAAATACTGGCAGTGAGGTGCCAGCCTAGATTTTTGCTCAAGTTTTTTGTTTCCTTTATTCATTCACAGGATGATGGCATTGCTTTTAGGCAGCATTTGTTGCTGATCCTTAATTGCCCAGAGAGCAGTTGAGAGTCAACCACATTGCTGTGGGTCTGGAGTAGCATGTAGGCCAGACCAGGTAAGGATGGCAGTTTCCTTCCCTAAAGGACATTAGTGAACTGGATGGTTTTTTCCTGACAATTGGCAATAGTTTCATGTTTATCACTAGATTCTTAATTCCAGATATTTTACCATCTGCCGTGGCGGGATTCAAACCCAGAACATTATCTGGGTCTCTGGATTTACAGTCCAGCGATAAAACCACTAGGCCATTGCCTCCCCACTTCTCCAGCAGAGTACTTAAATCCATCAGCTCAGGCATGAGAGCTCTATACACTGAGGCACAGTGGACACTATGGCAGAGATTATAACATCCCATATAACCGAACAATTATAAAAATTATTGTTAAGAAAATAACAGCTGTTCCAATTATATTTGATTTGATAGTCTGTTGCATGTTCTTCAAATTGATAATATTCTGCAACATTATTTCAGTTCTTTGCAACTTTTCCTGCTCATCAAAAAGACTTTGATTATTTAGATAAAGCAATAAGCAATGATTAAAACTCATCAGAGCAGAGTTTTCTAGCCACAAATGTTGTGTGTCTGGCCCAACTGCTCTTTGCATAGTTGATGGTAAATAATCGATGCAAGTATTAGAAAGAAATTGAATGGAAGCCAATCCTGGAGCAATAAACAATTCCGTGCTGTTCACCAAAGGCCTGCCAGTTTCAGTCTGAGTGACAGTGGTTGTAAAATGGTTCTAACTTGGAAACTGGCAATTAGTCTTGTTTTTAATGAGGGTAGGAGCAGTATCAATGAGCTCAGAAAATTAACTTTTGGCTACAGTAGAGATGACTGAGCAAATCACCTGACAAAAAAAATTACTAGAACTCTTTCAGGACTTAATGAGAAGGATAGACAAAGGCGAAGTAGTAGATTTAATATGTTCGGATTTTCAGAAGGAGTTTCATAAGGTACCACACCATAGGCTATTTAATAAGAGCCCATGGTGTTGGAGATAGCATTTTAGCATGGCTACAGGATGGGCTAAC